CGGCGGGCGTCGCGGAGCACACGCTCTGCGCCCGGAGCCTGGCGCTGCGGGCCGCGGCCAAAGCGTCGAGCTTCGAGGCGAAAGCGCTGCAAACGGCGCTCGCGGATCTCGCGCGGCGCGCGCTGGGGGACGGCCGCCTGCCCCCGGGCAACGCGCGGTCCTGCGCCCTCGACTGCGCGGCCCACGCGGGCGACGGCGCGCTCGCGGTCGCCGCGCTCGACGAGGCCGGCGACGAGGACTTTCTGCCCATCGTCTCCGTGCGGTTGCAGGGGGCGGCCCTGGCCGACGGCGCGACGCCGGAGCGCCTCGCCGCGGCCCTGGCGAGCGTCGAGGACGACCCGGACGCCGCCGAGGCGCTCTCGGCCTCCGGGGGCTTGGACGGCCTCCCGCTCGCGACCGCCGCGCCGCTCCTCGAGGCCGCGGCGACGCCCGCGCAGCGCCGCGTGGCCCTGCGCGCCGTGGGCGCCTGCGCCGACGCGGGCCTCGAGAAGGCGCTGAAGCGCCTCGCGGCGAAGCCCTTCGTGCTGCCGGTGGACGACGCGGACGTCGCGCGCGCGTCGCTGGAGGCGCTCGCGGCGCTCTCCGCCAGGGCGCGGCGCCTCGCGCTCGACGCGCGGGCCTACCCGCTGGGCGCGCGCCTCGACGCGCCGCGCGCCGTCGTCGTGCTCCTCGCCGACGCCGCCGAGGCCGGCGGCGGCGGCCTCGCCGCGACGATGCGGCTCGTCTGCGGCGGCGACGGCGCTTTCGCGCGCGGCGGCTTCGGCGGCGACGCGGGCGCGAAGACCTTCCTCGGCGACGAGCTCAAGGGCAAGTTCGACCGGAGCTACCGGGGCGCGCGCTGCTGGGACGGCGGCGGCGACGCCGTCGCGACCGCGGGCTTCCCCGCGCTCGCGCGGGCGCTCGCCGAGGTCGCGTCCGTCGGCGCGCGCGGCGCGCAGCGCGACCTGCGCGACTGGGCGTCCTCGGAGCTGCTGCGGCTCTGGGCGCGCAACGGCGCCGGGTCCGGCGTCGCCTTCGGGGAGCTGCGGCGGTCCGACGCGCTGAGCCGCCTCTCGGAGCTCGCGTTCGCGGACCTCGACCGCTTCGCCGCGGAGGACCACACCTTCGTGACCTTCTGCGTGTCCTTGGTGTGCGCGCGCCAGGCGGGCGCGCGGGGCCTGCTGGAGCAGCTCGCGCAGATGCTCGCCGCGGAGGCGCGGCGGCGGGGCCGCGATTGTACTCCGCGCGACTCGCTCCAGCGGCTGGGCCCGTCGCTCTTCGTGACCATGCACCGCCACGCCCTGGATTGCGTGTTGCGCTACCTCGGCGGCAAGTTCGACAAGGTCTTCTGGGTGAGCTGCCTGAGCGAGACGACGCTGCAGATCTGCGCGGCGGGCGACGACGAGCGGCGGAAAAGGGTCGCGTTCGTCGAGGGCGTTTTAGGCGAGCCCTTCGCGGCCATCGTCTCGAAGACGGCCCAGTCCTTGGTGGAGCGCTTCGCGTCGGAGCTCGCGGGCCCGCGGAGCGACGAGGCGCGGCTGGGGCTGCAGATGGTCGCGTTCCACGTCTACGCGCGCGAGGCCGAGGACCGCCCGAAGAAGAAGGGCACGCCGAGCCGCGGCGCGCGGGAGAAGGAGGAGGCTTTACGGTCCCTCGTCGGCGAGCACTTCCTGCGCTTGATGGCCGAGATCATCCAGGTGAACTGGAAGCACGCGACGGCCGCGGAGAAGGCGCGGCGCGTCAGGGTCGTCAAGGGCCTCGTGGAGCACCTCGCGGCGAGCGACGCGGCCAAGTACGCCCACAAGGTGCTGGGCGTGCTGAGCGCCGCGCTCGACGAGGGCTCCGGCGAGCTGTCCGCCGTTTCTGTTACTGCCCTCAGCTGCTACGCGCGGCTGCTGCCGGAGGAGAGCCTCCGGCGGCACCTCGCGGTCGTCGTGACGGCGCTCGTCCCCTGCCTCCAGGAGGTCGGCGACGGCGCGGCGACGCTGAAGCGCGCCATGGCCAAGCGCGCGAGCGAGCTGCTCCACTGGCTGCTCGTCGAGCGGCGCGCGGTTTTAGGCCCCGCGTTCGCGTCGGTGCCGAGGCTGCCGGACGTGCCGGGCAACGCCGTCGTCGACGCGTGCCGCGCGGCGCTGGTCGACGAGCGGGCGAAGACGGCGAACCTCGACGCCTTCCTGGGGCGGTCCCAGCACGAGCCCGTGGACGTGGACGCGGACGGCGGCGACGCGGCGGCGGGCCCGGCGTCGCTCCGGAGCGAGCTCCAACGCCTCGCGCCGCTGCTCGAGGCCGACGCGCCGGGCGTGCGCGCCGCGGCGGCGACGGCGCTGTCCGAGACGCTGACGGCGCGCCACGACGACTTCGCGGCGCTCGTCTTCAGCGGCGACGTCGGCCAGGCGCGGACCTGCGTGGAAATCAACCGCCGGTTCGGGACGTCCCGACCAAACTTTGAAATTCTCTAGCTCGGTAACTTCGCAGTCGATTCGGCTGATTTTTGGACGAATCGATCGCTCTCGTCGAGCTCTCGAAGCAGAGCCGAAGAGTTTGTGTCGAAACATTCGATTACGCGCACATTGAAGTCGGGTTGAAGATTTGATGTCCACACAGGCGCGGACGCCCGAGGTCGACGACGTCGCGTCCGCGCTGCTCCGCGGCGCGGCGCGCGGCGCGCGGGACCGGCGCTTCCGCCTCGCCGTCGCGACGGCCTTGGGCGATTTAGGCGCGCTGGACCCGGCCCTCGTGCGCGTGTCGCTCCACGCGCGAAGTGACCCGACGGACGCGGACGCGGCCGCGCGGCGCGAGTCGTCGACGCGCGCCGCGCGCGCGGGCACGCCGAACCCGGCGACGTCGGGCAAGAAGAAGCGGCGGGAGAACGAGGCCGACGAGCTGCGCGAGCCCGTGAACGGCGGCGTCCACCTCCAGCCGCCGCCCTGGGCCGAGGCGCGCGACGTGCTCGGCGCGCGCGTCGTCGCGCGGTACCTCGTGTCCACGCTCCGCGCGGCGACGTCGACGGGCGTCCAGGACCGGAGCGCCTTCGCCATCCAGGAGCTGCTGAAGCTCATGGACCCGGACGCGGACGACGCGCCGGCGCCGAAGGGGCCGCCGCCGTCGGGCGACGACCGCGCGGCGAAGCGGCGCCGCGGCACGCCCGTCGCCGACGGGTCCAAGCGGAAGCGCCGGGGCGCCGAGGGCCTGCCGGACTGGGCGCGCAAGATCTTCGCGGCCGGCGACTGCTACGAGACCGTGCTGACGTACGCGGCGACGACGTACGCGATCGCGCTGCCGCCCCGGGAGCGCAAGGCGCGCCAGGAGTTCGTCGCGTCGAGCGGCCACGACGCGCGGCTCTGGGTCAAGTCCTGGGCGCGCCACCTCGCGGTCTTCGCGCGGAGCCGGACGCACGCGCCGGTCTTCGTGGCGTGCCACGCGTTGATGCGCGACGACGACCGGCTCTGCGCCGCTTTATTACCCTACCTCGTCGCCGACGCGCTGTGCTGCGGCGAGGACGCGGACGCGCTGGACGTGGCGCGCGAGCTCACGAAGGCGCTGGAGGTCGCCGCGGACCCCGTCGTGCTGAACCTCGTCTTCTCGCTCCACGCGACGATCGAGCGCTGGCACGACGCGGCCCGGGCCCTGGAGCGGGAGGACGCGGCGCGCGCCCGGAGCCGCGGCGCCGTGCCGGCGACGGCGGACCGCTTCGCCTGCTTCGTCGACGAGGACGGCGGCGCGCCGCGGAAGCCCGTGTCGGAGCTGCTGGCCGTCGCTCTCGAGGCGCTCCCGCCCGCGAAGCTCGCGGACGCGGCGGCGTCCATCGGAGCCGACGCGCGGAGCGTGCTCTACCGCGAGCGGGCCCTGCGCGCGGCCCACCTGGGCATGCGCCAGCTCGCGGGCCGCGGCGCGCAGTGGCACGACGGCGCCGACGGCTACGTGCCCGTGCTCGGCCAGGCGGACATCGAGCAGCTCGAGGTCGTCGCCTGCCGGCTGGACGACGACGCGGACTACCTGGGCGGGTTGAGCGCCTGCCGGCGGCGGGCCCAGATGCCGGGCACGCTGCGGCAGCGCGTCCGCGAGATGGAGCAGGAGGCGCAGTGGCAGCAGGCGCTCGACGGCTACGAGCACGTGCTGCGCGCGGCCGAGGGCGCCGCGCGCGCGGACGCGGCGCGCGGGTTGTTGCGGTGTTTGTTGGAGCTCGGCCACTGCGAGTCGGCGCTGCTGCACGCGGACGGCCTCGCGGCGCGCGGCGACGCGTCCGTCGCGGCCGCGGTCCGGCCCTTCGCGGCGGAGGCGGCGATGAAGCTCGGGCGCTGGGATAGGTTGGAAAGGGATGCGCGCGACGACGGCGGCGGCGACGCGCGCGTGGCGCTCGCGACCTGCGTCGCGGCGCTCCAGACGCGCGCGGCGACCGGCGACGCGGGCCCGTTCCGCGGCGCCGTCGACGCGGCGAAGCTCGCGGCCATGGAGCGCCTCTCGGCGAGCACGGAGTCCTACGGCCGCGCCTACCCCTACGTCGCCCAGCTCCACGCGATCCGCGAGGTCGAGCACGCGGCGGAGTTGTTGGACGACCCCGACGCGCGCGACTCGGTGCTCCGGCGCTGGGACGACCGCCTGCTCGCGGGCGCCAAAACGTCCGCGGCGGGCTGGCTCGCCGTGCGCCGCGTCTGTCTGGAGGTCGCGGGCCTCCCGGAGGACGCGGGCACGTGCGCCATGCGCAGCGCCAAGGTCGCGCGGCGCGCGGGGCGCCTCACGGTCGCGTTCGGCGACGTCCGCGACGCGTGCCGCCTCGGCGTCGAGGCGTCCGCGCTCGCGTTGGCGGAGGCCAAGCTCGCGCGCTGCGCGGCGTCCGGCGGCGGCGACACGGAGGCCCAGGCGGCGCTGCGGGCCTACGCCATGCTCGAGCCCGTCGAGGCGGACCTGAAGGCCATCGCGATGAAATTCGGCGTCTCGGGGTGGTCCGCGGACGACCTGTCCGGCCTCGCGCTCTTCAAGGGCCACGAGCGGCACCGGGGCGCGCTCGTGGCGTCGCAGTCGAAGCTCTCCGCCGCGGACCGCGCGGAGCGCGCGGACGTCGCGAAGCGCCTGGTCTTGGCGACGGACTGTCTGGTCGACGCGCGGCTCCGCCACGGCGTCTTCGCGGTCGTGAAGCGCTACGAGCTCGCGGTCGCGCTGCGGCCCGACTGGGCCCGGGCCTACGTGAGCTGCGGCCGCTACTTCGACGTCCTGCTCGCGTCGCGGCGCCAGCAGACGTCGAGCGACGACGACGATGATGCTGGTGATGATGGTGGCGACGTGTTGGCGCACGAGTACGCCAAGGCGGCGATGACGTGGTACGCGCGGGGCCTCGAGCAGGGCGCCAAGGAGGCGCCGTCGGCGCTGCCGCGCCTCGTGACGCTCTGGTTCGAGTTCGGGTCCGTGTCCGTCGAGAAGCAGGCGCCCCAGAAGCCCGGCGCGCGGCCGTCGGCCAAGACGGAGCGCGCCAAGGCGCTGGAGCGGCTCAAGCAGGAGATCTACGACGTCGTCCGCCGCGCGTCGCTGTCCATCCCCGCGGCGGTCTGGTACACGGTGACGCCCCAGCTCGTGAGCCGCGCGGCGCACCCGAATCCGTCGCTCATGCGCGGCGTGTCCGAATTATTGGCGATCATCCTCCACGCGCACCCGGACGAAGCCGTCTGGGCCGTGACCGGTTTGACGCAATCTTTAAACCCGGACCGCAAGAAGGTGGGCAGCGAGCTCTTTTCGTTGGCCGCGAAGCGCCTCCAGAAGAGCGACGCCCACGCCCGCGACGCCGCGAAGACGCAGAAGATGCTCCACGGCGCGAAGCAGCTCTTCGCCGACCTCATCGCCGTCGCCAAGCACGTGCCGCCGGACTCCGCGGCGACCGTGGACATGCGGCGCATCGGGAAGCAGGTCAAGGCCGCGCGGGGCCTACTCGTGCCGACGCGCGCGGCGCTGACGGCGGCGATCGCGCCGCGCGGCAAGGGCGGCGGGCCCGACTGGCCGCGGTTCCCCGACGACTCGCCGCGCGTCGACAAATTCCAGGACAACATCATCGTCATGAAGTCGAAGGCGAAGCCGAAGAAGCTGACGCTGGAGGCGTCGAACGGCCGGGTCGTGCGCGTCCTCTGCAAGCGCGAGAAGGACGGCGACCTGCGGAAGGACGCGCGCGTCAACGACTTCAACGACGTCGTGAACCGGCTGCTCGACGCGGACGACGAGGCGCGGCGACGGAAGCTGCACCTGCGGACCTTCGCCGTCGTCATTCTGGATGAGGAGTGCGGTCTGATGGAGTGGGTGAACCGGACGCACGGTTTACGGTTCGTCATGGAGGCGGCGTACGGGCTGCACCCGGACGGCGCGCGGCGCATGCCGGGCTGCTTCGACGACCGCATCCGCGGGCCCTTCGAGCAGAACCAGCGGACCTACGCCCACGACGGCGTGGCCATGGCGCGCGAGTACCGCAAGATCGTGCTGGGCCAGTACGAGCCCTGCTTCAGCCGCTGGTTCGCGCACCGCTTCGGCGACGAGCCGGCCGCGTGGCTCGGCGCGCGCGCGACGTTCGCGCGGTCCAGCGCGATCTGGTCCGCCGTGGGCCACGTGCTGGGCTTGGGCGACCGCCACGGCGAGAACATCATGGTCGACATCGACCGCGGCGAGCAGGTCCACGTCGACTTCGACTGCATCTTCGACAAGGGCACGCGGCTCAAGACGCCGGAGATCGTGCCCTTCCGCCTGACGCCCCACATGGTCGAGGCCTTTGGCGTGACGGGCGTCGAGGGCTGCTTCCGGCGGAGCCTCGAGGTCGGGCTCCACACGCTGCGGCACCACCGCGAGACGCTGCTGAACGTGCTCGAGCCCTTCATCCGCGACCCGACGGTCGGCTGGAGCCGCACGGGCAAGGCCCAGCGCGACGGCGGGCCCGACGAGCCGCCGGACCGGGGTCTGGGCGACCGCAACGGCGCCAAGGCCGCGACCAAGAAGCGCGCGCCGCCGCCGCCGCCGAAGGCGCACGACGACCCGAAGAACGTGCTCCGCGTCGTCGCGCAGCGCCTCGACGGCATCTACAACGTGCCCGTGCCGCCGCCGCCGGGCTCGGCGCGGGAGCGCGAGGACCGGGCCCTCGCCCGCGCGCGCGGCGTGAAGAAGCCCGACGAGCTCCCGCTCTCCGTGCCCGGCCAGGTCGAGCGCCTCATCAAGGAGGCGACCGCGGACACGAACCTCTGCCGCATGTACATCGGCTGGACCCCCTTCCTGTGAGAGAGAGACCCCTCTCTTAATGTTGTTGTGCCTACCAGACGATGTCGCGCTCGGGCCGCACGGCGACGACGACGCGGTCGTCGAGCACGCCCGCCTCGATCAAGAAGACGTCCTCCGCGTGCTCGCCGTGGGGGTTGTCGACGCCGCGCTGCGCCTGGCGCGTCGTCGGGTAGACGTCGTCGACGACGCGGACGGCGGACTCGCCGGGGACGCTCGACACCTCCTCGTCCCAGACGAACGTCGTGCCGCCGTCCTCGAAGACGCAGAGCGGGTGGATCTCGCCTGCGGTAGACGCGTTTTTGCGAGCCATCGCGCGCGCGGGAGACGCCGCATCGCGCCGCTGTTCAACACGACGCCGACGCCGAGCGCGTCGCCGTCGCCCGTTTCGTACTCAACAATGTCGTTCTCCGCCGGCTCCCACCAGAGCCCGTCGCTCTCTTCGTCGTCCGCCGCCGACGCGCGCGGCCGATGTCTCTCGTGGGAGGCGCTCTGGTGCGTCGGTGCGATGCAGCGGCGCTGCCGGTTTGGTGCGAAGGAGCTCGCGCACCACGAGAGGAGCACCACGAGCGCACGCATCGGCAGTGCCGAGGTTCACGATGAACTCGCAATGATCACTTGTTGAACCGCCCCAGTCGCCTATGGCGCAGCCTGCGAATGCGGCCTTCGTCGCCGCGCAGCCCGCGCTCGTCGTCGCCGAGGCGCGGAAGCGCGAGGCCCAGGAATACTTCAAGAGGGAGCAGTGGGAGGCGGCCGTCGCCGCCTTCGGCGAGGCCCTCGCCACCGTCGCCGGCGCCGGCGATTCGGAGAAGGCCGCGCAGCTGCGGCTCGCCATCGCGCTGAACCTGGCCCTCGCGGCGCTGCGGAGCGGCGACGCGGCCAAGGCCGCGTCGGCCTGCGAGGACGCCCTCGCGCTCGACGGGGGCAACCTGAAGGCGCTCTACCGCCGCGGCGTCGCGCGGGGCCAGCTCGAGGATTGGGCGGGCGCGGCCGCGGACCTCGAGGCCGTCGCGGCGCGCGCCGGCGAGGGGGGCGTCGCCGCGGCGGCGCGCCAGGCCCTCGCGGCCCTCCGGGACCAGCAGGCGGCGGCGCAGCGCGGCGAGCGAGACGCGGAGGAGGCGGAGGAGGCCGCGCCGCCGAAAGAAGCCAAGCCGCCGCCCAAGTACCTCACGGCGCCGCCGCCGCCGCGGCCGGCGCCCAAGGTCGAGGCGCCGCCGCCGCCGACGCTCTCCGGCGGCTTCCTCAAGCGCGCGCGCGAGGCCGCGGAGAAGCGAAAAGCCGCCAAGAAACTGGAAGCCCAGGGACCAAAGAACAGCGAGCCCTGGAAGCAGGGCGCCAAGGCCGCCCTGGCCGCGCGCGCGAGCGCCGTCGCCGCGGCCAACGACGCGAGCCGCCTCGGCGTCGAGGAGCGCTACGTCGAGGCCGCGCTCGGCGGCGGCGGCGCGACGCCTCTCACCGCGCCGCCGTCGCCGTACACCGTGCAAGGCGGCGGCCTCCACGGCGACGTCTGGCGCCGCGCGGCGGTCGTCGCGGCCATGACGCCGCGGCAGCGCAGGGCCGCGCCGGACCCGGCGGACGGCGACCGCCTCGGCGCGGCCGCGGCGGCGCTCGGCGCGTCGGTCGCCGCGTGCTGCCGGCGCCGCGACGACGCGCGGCGCCGCCTCGAGGACGACGACCTGAGGGGCGTCGTCGGCGCCTGCGAGGCGGCGCTGCGCGTCGCCGACGACGCCCTGCCGGGCGCGGCGGCCGTGCTCGGCGACTACGAGGCGCGCGTGCCCGACGGCGGCGGCGCGTTCGGCGGCGGCTGGGCGCGCGAGGGCGCGCGGGCCACGGCGGCGGCGGCGCAGGTCCGCGCGCGAATCACGGCGCTCGCCGACGTCGCCGCGCGCTGCGCGCTGCTCCGGGGCGGGGCCGTCGCGGACCTCGCGGGCGACGCGGCCAAGTCCGAGCCGGCCGTCGACGGCTGCCTGGAAAAGTACGCGGCCGCGCGCCGTCCCGCGGCGGGCTTCGCGGCGGGCCGCCACCGGGGCCGCGAGAAGGTCGCGCGCGACGCCTACGCGGCGCGCGCGGCCGCGCGCGCCGCGCGCGGCGACGGCGCGGCCGCCGCGGGCGACGCGCTCAAAGCGCTGGCGCTGGACCCCTGGGCCGAGGACGCGCTGGAGCTCGTCGAGGACTGCCTCGACGCGACGGCGCTCCTCGAGAAGATGCGGTCGCGGGCCGTCGTCCAGAGCGACGACGCCGTCGCGGTCCGCCTCAACCTGTCGTCGCGGTCGCGCGACCAGCTGAGCCCGGGGATGGCGTTCCGCGGCGGCGACTGGGCCGACGCGGACCGCGGCGAGAAGCCGCTTCTAGCCATCCGGCCGGGCCAGAAGGTGCTCGGCGCGCGGAGGGAGGCGCGGAAGCGCACGGTGGAGCGCGGGTTGCAGGACCACGCGACGTACGGCTCGGTCCTCGACCTGTGGCGCGACGCGCCCGCGGCCTACCGGGCCTCCGCGCCCGCGGGCGACGACTCGAGCGGCGGGCCCGTGCACCTCTTCGTCTTCGCCAACGACGGCTGCTGGACCGGCGGGCGCCACGTCGTCGTGCCGCGGACGTACGGCGCCCTGAGCGTCGGCCAGGACGCGTGCCGCTGGCTCGGCTACAAGCACGACCGGCCCTACTCGACGTCGCTCTACTGCCGCGACGGCTCGGCGGCCGACGGCCTCAACGTGCTGCCCAACTTCTCCTGGGTCTGCGTCGGGGCAGGACAAGGGTGCAAAATTCCCAACTTCAAAGGCTCCTATCTCGACCGTTTTCCACTCGTTTTGGCTGATTTTTGGACGAGCGATCATCCCTCGGAGCGCTCTCGAAGCGTGGATGCTTTTCCTGGAACGCAAGCGCGCGGAACACTCACGTTGAATCACCCTTTTCCCGCCCAGGTCTGCGTCGGCGACGACTTCGAGGCGCAGTACGAGTCCACTGCGTCCGGCCGCAAGTTCAAGCCCTTCGCGGGCCGCATGGCCTACTTCCCGCCCGCGAAGCCCGGCGACGTCGCCGCCAAGTGGCGCGTGTCCCGGCCGGAGCTGCCCCGGCGCCACGCGCACTGGCTCGTCGCCGGCCGCGGCCGCGCGTTCGACTTTTCGCGCCTCGACGCCGCGCTCGACGACGTCGCCGCGGGCCGCGCGGCCCTCGTGCGCGGCGCCCACTTCGTGCCCCGGGCGTCGCAGCACTGGGACGCGCCCTACGTGAAAAACGCGCTCCTCAAGGCGGCGTCGCGCGACGTCTCCGCGGACGCCGAGGGCGCGTACGCCTGCTACCGGTCCAACGACGCGACCTTCTACGTCGAGGACGTCGACGCCTGGGCCAAGCTCCGCGACGAGGACGCGCCCCGGGGCGTCTTCGCCGCCGCGGCGACGACGACGGCGCCATTGAACGCGGGCGACCCGCTCGCGGACGTCGTCGGCGCGTACTTTGACGACCTCGGCGCGCTGGACCCGGCGACGCCGGACGCGAGCCGGCTGCTGCGCGTGCCCCTCTTCAACGGCGCGAACCGCGCGAAACGGCGCCTCGCGCCGAGCCGCCTCGACTCCGACTTCGACGCGGCCATGTGGGAGACGCTTCGTCGACAAGGTCGGCCGCGAGGGCCGCTTCGGCGACTTCGAGTCCTGCGAGGCGCGCTTCGCGCGGCCGGGCGCCCTCGCGACGCCCTGCCGCCACGACCGGCGGGGCCTCGTGCTCCAGCAGTGCCGGGGGACGACGCGCGTCGTCCTCTTCGACCCGCTGCACGGCGCGTCGCTCTACGCGTACCCGGAGCACCACCCGCTGCGCCGCTACGCGCGCCTGGACCTGGAGCGGCCCGACGTCGGCGCGTTCCCCCTCGCGGGCGAGCTCCGGGGCGTCGAGGTCGAGCTCGCGCCGGGCGACGCGCTCCTCGTGCCCCGGGGCTGGTGGCGCCAGGAGCACGCGGTCGACTGCGACGGCTCCGGCGAGAACGTCTTGCTGGAGCTCCGCTTCGCGGACCGGTCCCGGGACTACCGGTCCGAGGCCGTCGACCAGTACGCCATGGGCGGCGGCGTCCTCGACGGCGCGGACCTGGCCCTCGCGGCGTCGTTCCTCGAGCGCGACGCGGCGCGCGCGCTCGGCAAGCGCCGCGTCGCCGCGTTCGTCGACGCGCTCCGCGCGGACGTCGTCGCGTCGGGCTGGCAGGTCCACGCCGCGGCCGACGTCGCCGCGCGCGACGCGGCCGGCGGCGACGAGCGGGTCGCGCGCGCCGTCCGCGAGGCGCGCTTCGCCATCGGCGAACTGCTGGGCGTCGACGCGCTCGAGTACTTCGTCACGCGCTACCTGTCGGCCGCGCGCTGGACGGGCCTCGAGCGCCTCGACGCCAAGGCCGCGGCGGCCGCCGAGGACGCCGCGGCGCGGCGGCGCCAGGCCGCGCGCGCCGCCGCGGACCGCGCGGCCGCCCGGGCCTCCAAGGCGCCCGCCCCGGCGCCGCCGCCCGAGCCCCCCGCGGCGGTCGAGGCGCCGGCGGTCGTCGAGGACGTCGTCGAAAGCGACTCCGACGACACGGACTCGGACGACGAGGCGCCCTTCGTCGTCGACGTCACCGCGGCGCGGCTCGGGATCGAGTCGGACAGCGATTGAGTAAGTTTATTTTCGGCTGTGGATTTCAGGCGGGGATCATCGCGCGCGGTAGCGGTCCTTCGTGGCGACGAGCTTCTCGAGTAAGGCTTTGGCCTGAAGGAGCATCAGGACGACGCTCAGTACGACAACCGCGACCGTGAGGCCCGCGAGGACCGCGCCGACTCCGACCACGGACCAGCTCTCGTCCTTGGTCACGTCGGCCGAGATCAAGAGGCCGGAAAACGTGGCGAAAAAAAGGACCATGGAAGCAACGATCGCGAGCGTGTTGTCGAGGTCGTTCGAAAAGGGCCGAGCGATCGAATAGAGCGCGGACGATAGAAATGCGGTCAAGAGGCCGTAAGCGAGCTGCGTCGTGGAGCCGGGCTGGACAGTCACCGCCACGGCCGTGACAAGCAGACGACGAACGCTCTCCGCTATTTCGAACCACCAGAACCTCGGCAGGTAGTGCATCCACAAAAATCCGATGCTCTTCAGCGTGGAGTCGTCGCCCGCGCGACGCTGCGCGTTCTTGCTCTGCTCCGCGAGGGACGCGCGGCCGCACCGCTCGACGGCCTCTGTCTCTTCGAGGCGGACGCGCCGCGCGCCGTCGTCGCCGAGCGGGGGGTCGATCGCGCGGCGGCGCGCGACCACCAGCGTCGTGAACAGAGCCACGATGCCGATGGGGTAGACGAAGACGCACACGATCGCGTAGGCACTGAAGGCCCTAAATTTGGACGTCTTGCAGGAAATGGAGTAGTCGCACGCGAGCAAGCTGCGCCCGTCGTCGAAGGAGTCGTCGCAGGCGAACGCCTGGAATATCGACGTCGACGTGGAGCTGAAGACGAAGAAACAAAGTTTGAGGAAGAGGTCTATGCACTTGGCAGACCTGGTCTTCGAAACCACGGCGACGGTTCCGAGAGCCGCCGACGCGAGAACTGGTCCGATCGTCACGGCCAGCAGCCGGTCGTAAAACGAAAGCTTCTTCACCACACACTCCAGGTGGATCAACGAGAAGAGGTCAAGGTTCAGTGGATTGAACAGGTTGAGGACTCGCGTCAGCTGATCGGGCCAGTGCACGTGATAGTAGATGTCTGGGAGGTACGACATCGTCTGGAGGAAAACGACGAGGATCTTGACTTTCGCCATGATTGCCTCCTCGATGGCGGAGACGATGGCGTCGTAGTCGAAGCGCTCAAACGAGGGGTATTTGACGTCGAGGATAATGAGCAGGTCCAGCAAGCGCGGAGGCTTCAGAGACGGGAAAGCCGCGCGGACGGCAGCGAGGAGCGCGTCGAGGTCGACGATCTCTGGGAGATTCGGCAGGACCTCGCGGAGGATCTCGAGGAGCCCGTCGAGCTGGGGCGGCTCGAGGCTCGGGAACGCGGAACGAACGGCGTCGAGAACAAGATCGAGCCTCAGAGACGCGAGCGTCGGCATGCCGTCGAGGATCTCGAAGACCAGCCGCAGATCGGCCAAGTCCGGCACGTCGGGGAGCTTGACCTCGAGGGCGGCGACGAACCGCTGGAAGAAGCGGTCCATGCCCCATGACTTCTCGAGCGCGTCGGCGATGGACGCCTCGAGACTCTCTCGCACCGGCTCCAGGATGCGCTCCGCGCGGTCCGCCGCGGGGCTCGCCTCGCCCTCGAGGCTCCAGGTGACCGCGTACGTCGCGTCGCCGATGCGGCACGCGTCCGGGAGGTCGTCGCCCGCGACGACGAGATAAACGAAGGCGTCGCGCTTCGTGCGGCGGATCCGCTGGAAGGTCGACCCCGTTGCGACGGACGCGGCCTCGACGATGGCCTCGTCGCCGACGCTCTCCGGGACGGATCGCACGCAGGCAACGGCGGGCCTCGCCCGCGGCGTCTTCGGCGGTCTCTCGAGCAGCGGCTCCTCTTCCGAGTCGTAGGGGCCCACGCGGCGATTCAGCTCTGCCGACGTTGATTCGGCTCGGGGCCCGTGGAAATCCCGTGGTGTCGTCGCGGGTTCGGTCCGCGGAAGGGGCGCCTCGGCCGCCGCGCCGCCGCCGCCGCCGTCGTCGTCGTCGTTGTAGAAGGCGCCGGTGACGGCGCCGTCGAAGGGAAGAATCATCGTCGTGTGATCGTCGCTATCGTCCTCGCCCGGCGCCGGCTCGGGCTCGGGCTTGGGCTCCGCCGCGGCGACGTCGCCCGGGTCCGTGTAGAGCGGAGCGACCTTGATGACTTTTCTCGGTCTTTTCAGCGACGAAGCCGCTGGCAGCTGCCTCGTTGCGGCTCTGCGGACTGCCTTGCGCACCGCGCGCGTCACCAGAAACGGCGACGCGACGAAGAGGGCGAGGAGTAAAAGGTGAAATCCGAAAAAGTGGCGGAACCTCCTTGCTGCCGCGGCGTCGCAGGCGTGGCACTGGCCGGTGGACATGTCGCGGTAAAAATCGCGCTCGCAGGCCGCGCACAGCGTCTTGTAGTAGCCGTCCGCGCATCGCGTAGCGTTTCCCGCTCCGCCGACGCATGCGTCCTCGCGGAAGCACTCCCTGACCTTCGACGAGCCGGGCGTCGTCCGCCAGCAGCCGTCGTGCACCGCGATCGTCTCGATGGTGGTTCCCTCGGCACAGGTCGCATGGTCGGGGCACGAGACGCACCTCGAGCCGTCGATCGCGGTGTCGTCGTCCGCGAGGTAGAGGCCCGCTTCGCAGAAGTCGCAGGTCGTCGAGCCCTGACGGGACGTGCGCCCGAGCTGGAAGGACGAGCAGCGGTCGCAGCCAAGCTGGCCGCTCTGCGGCTGATACGTCGACGCCGGGCAGCGCTCGCACTGCTTTTGCCCGGCCGCGGGCTGTCGACGGCCCGGCGCGCACGCCTCGCAGGCCGTGCTGAAGGGCTTGTCCGAGAATTCGCCCGCGGGGCAGGGGCGACATTCGATCGAATCGGCCGTAAAATAGCCAGGCTGACAGACCTCGCAAAACAACCCCAGTGGACTGAACGTGCCGTTCTCGCAGGGCGCGCAGGTGATGTTACCGTTGTCAACCACGACTTCGCGTTCGCCGGGGAGGCAGTTCGAGCAGAATCGCTGCCCGAGTCCAGAGATCCTGCCGGCCGGGCAACCCGTGCAGACCTCCGCGGCGGGCGCGTTGGAATAGGTATTGTACGGGCACAATTCGCACGTCGTGGCCGTGGTCTCGCTGGCGAATTTTCCCGCAGCGCAGAGCTTGCACGCGCCAACGAGCGGCACGTAGCCGTCGTCGCTAAATTTGCCGGGTAGGCACCGCGGCCGCGTCGGCGCGGCGCTGGGCAAGCTGGACGGCGAGGCCGTCGGAGTGGTCGAAGGGGCGGCGCTCGGAGCGCCACTCGGAGCGCTGCTCGGCGCAGAGGTCGTCGGCCCGCTCGTCGTCGGCGTCGCAGACGGAATCGCGGTGGTTGGGGCGGGAGTAGGTTTGGGTGTCGGCGTGGCCGTCGGCGCGGGAGTAAATGACACCTGAAAATCGATCGAATCCACGAGAGACCCGTCGTCCGTGCACTTTAGGGTGAGCGTGAATTCGTTCGAACCCGCGTCGCCGGCGACGACCTGCATCTGCTGCCCGTCGTTGGCTATGGTCTGCGAGCCGACCTCGTTCCCGTCCGGGTCGGTCAGCGCGACTTCGACGGTCGCGCAGCCGGGGCCGCGGTACGCCCAGAGGAGCTCGCACTCGATGCCGTGGACGCACGTCGACGCGGAGCCGATGCTCGTGATTGCCAGGACGGAGGCCGTGGGCGGGAACGAAGGGGCGGGCGTTGGCTTCGGCGTGGTGGGATTTGGCGTTGGAGTCGGAGTCGGCTGCGGCGTCTCGCAATTTGACGAAAAGCTGACGCCGCAATCGGCGACGGCGCAGCTGGACGAGGTCGCGAAGTCTGACGCGGAGACAGAGCTCGAGATGCACCAGTCGAGGTCCTGGTCGAAGGCTGAAGCACTCAAGAACATGCCGCCCATGTTCGTCACCTTCGACGGGGGATCCTCAGAGCGAC